TTTTGTTGTTGTTGTTGAATGTTGTTCTCAAACAAATAATCCAAAGTAAACAAATATCGACAGGTGAATTCAATAAAACCAAATATCTAACATTATAAAATAATATATAATAGTAGTATAGGAAGATATGTGTGTTACTGGGGACTGCTATAGGTTACAGAGGCGTGCTATTCATGAATATCAGTCACGTGATCTTTTACGTCATCCGCTCTTTTCCCAGCTTACGCCATCTTGAGTTCCTACCGAGTACCGGCATAGACAATACTGACAAGCATTAGCTAGCTGGCTACGATTTACGGATTCGTATGGATACAGTAAATGGCTACGAAAGACAACATTTCGCACCTCGACTGACATGAAAAGAAACGCTACTTTCAAAAAATATCATCGTTAGGCTGCCAACGTTATAGTGTGAACAGATTGGCTAACCACTTGCTAATGTCAGCAGTCTCAGGAGCACTTGAGTAATATCTGTGGCAAATAACGTTAGAGGACGGAGAGCAGAGGGGAGGCTGTGTCATTAACTCATTTACACTAAAACCATTAAAAGCACACACACTAAAAGAGATGGTGGTGTTTTCGGGCTATAATCTTAAACTGGTTCTAAACTTGAACAATATCCTCAGCTAACGTTAGCGACTGATGTGAATCTCTACCAGATATTGTAACACGTTGTTATTAAACTATAAACTGACATTGACGCTACACTCATGCTGTTAGACACAGTATATAAACCAATTCACACTGATTGCTTAATTAGTACTGTTTGGCAAGATTCATATGTTATCATCTTTAATTAAATTTGGCGATTAGCGACAGCGAGCAGCTAGCATTAGCTCGCTAAAAATATATTTACATCCACTCAGCACAGACAAAATGAGCACTGCACAGACAAGTGTTTGCAGTTGGTGTCCAACGGTGTCACCACCCTGCTCTCTCTTGGCAGCTGATGTGTGGCTGTCAGAAAGCCTGACACCGCTTCATTCAACCAAACTGTAGTAACGCGCTACTTTACGTTCTCAGTAACGGTAATGGCGTTGCAACGATGGGAAAAGTACTTAATTAGATTACTCAGTTACTGAAAAAATAACGCCGTTATACTTAAACGCCGTTACTCCCAACACTGTTTGCAATAGACTTAGCGATCTCGCCGAATCAGGTACTCAACATGGCGGCATACAAGTTAGAATGTGAGTGAAGTCAGGTAATATTCATGAATAGGTTACTGAGGACTGCTATAGTTTACTGAGGAGTGCTGTAGTTTACTGAGGAGTGCTGTAGTTTACTGAGGAGTGCAATAGCTTACTGGGGACTGCTATAGGTTACTGAGGAGTGCTATAGGTTACTGGGGAGTACTATAGGTTACTGGGGAGTAGTGTAAATCACATCAACAAACCAAAAAACACAACTGCTTTTAAAGTCAACTGACAGCTGATGAACGGATGTTGCTTCATGTGTTCTGTGACTTAAAGAAAAACATTTCTCTGCACGTCTTCCTGTTTAGTCATTCACTAAACTAAACTTTAATAATAATAAAATGATTATTATAACTTACTATAACGATATTATAATGTGAAATTACCAATGTCAGTGGGAGCTGACAAAAATAGTAACGCCTAAAATGAATTATTTGGTGCACTTGAATAGTCGTGGTCTGTCCGAGGTTTATGGCGTTCACATGTTGGCTGCCTCATGTATCCTGCGTCTGTTTGTACCGTTGGTTGTGGACCTCCTCAGAAACAGGACTGAGTGGTTACACAGTGAGTCTATCTCTGGCTGGTTGTGGACCTCACCATCCGTCTGTGACCTGTTGAATTGCATTTCAATTCAGTTTTATTTGTATAGTGCCAATTCATAACAGAAGTTATCTCAGGACACTTTCCAAATAGAGCAGGTCTAGACCGAACTCCTTAAAGCATTATTTACAGAGACCCAACAGTTTCCACCATGACCAAGACCTTGGCGACGGCGGCAAGGAAAAACTGCCTTTTAAGAGGCAGTAACCTCGGACAGACCCCTCGGCTCTAGGTGGGTGGTCGTCTGTGTCGACCAGTTGGGGACAGACAGACAGACAGAGGTGCACAGCAATAACAGTAGCAACAATTACACTAATAGTAGTGACTGGGGACAATGAGCAGTGATTATAGTAATAATAGTATCTCTAGTAATAATAGTGATAATAACAATAATATTAGTAATAGCAATGGGAGTCAAGCAGGACCATGGCAGGAGGCTCCACCAGGATCCATGAGAACCTGCGAGACGAGAAAGCACAAGAACTCCGGGGAAGAAGTGAAGTTAGTAACATGCATTAATGGGACATGAATGTGTGCAGAAAGAGAGAGGAAGAGAGGGGCGCAGTGCACCATGGGAAATCCTCCGATAGTCTAGGCCTATAGCAGCATAACTAAGGGATGGTTCAGGACTCACCTCAGCCAGCCCTAACTATAAGCTTTATCAAAGAGGAACGTCTTAAGCCTACTCTTAAATATAGAGAGGTGTCTGCCTCCAGAACCACAACTGGAAGCTGGTTCCACAGGAGAGGAGCTTGGTAACTGAAGGCTCTGGCTCCTGTTCTACTTTTAGAGACTATAGGAACCACAAGTAGCCCAGCATTCAGAGAACGTAGTGTTCTAGAGGGGTAATAGGGTACTATGAGCTCTTTAAGATATGAAGGGGCCTGACCATGAAGAGCTTAGTAGGTGAGGAGGAGGATTTTAAATTCTATTCTATATTTTACAGGAAGCCAGTGCAGAGAAGCTAATACAGGAGAGATATAATTTCTTTTCCTAGTTCCTGTCAGTACTTGTGCCGCAGCGTTCTGATTCCTGACAGTGGTGCTAAAGGCCAAGGTAATGTCATCTAGAGTAACTGTATCTTTAGACAGTGAGTCTCTGAGGTTTTTGGGGCCAAGTACAAGAATTCTGTTTCTTTCTGAGTTTAACATCAGGAAATTGCAGCTCATCCAGGATTTTATGTCCTTAAGACATGTTTGTAATTTAGATAATTGATTAATTTCATCGGGCTTGATCGATAGATATAACTGCGTGTCATCTGCATAACAGTGAAAGTTAATGGAGTGATTCCTAATAATGTTGCCTAAAGGAAGCATATATAAGGTAAATAGTATTGGTCCAAGTATAGAACCTTGTTGAACTCCATGACTAACTAGTATTTGTGGAAGATTCATCGTTAACGTGTACAAACTGAGAACGATCTGATAAATATGACTTAAACCAGCTTAGTGCGGTTCCTTTAATGCCAATTAGATGCTCAAGTCTCTGTAAAACAATATTATGGTCAATAGTGTCAAATGGGGCACTAAGATCTAGTAATACAAGTACAGAGTCAAGTCCATTGTTGAATGCAATGAAAAGGTCATTATTAACTTTAACCAGAGCTGTCTCTTTGATGAAGTCTAAATTCTGACTGAAAAATTCTGGCTCCTCTGGCATTACGGAGGGCCTTTCTATAAGTTTTAAGATTATCTTGCCAAATTGAGCGATATTCTGATAATTTTGAAGAACGCCATTTCCTTTCAGATTTCCGCGCTTTTTGCTTTAATTGGCGGGTTTGGTGGTTGTACCATGGTGCTAGCCTCCTTTTGTTTTAATATTTTCCTTTTTATAGGAGCGATAGAGTCTAATGTTGATCGTAGTGAGCCTGCAGTACTATTGACAAGATAATCAATTTGGGAGGGACTAAAGTTGTTATAGGACTCTGTTAAATTCAGACATGGCATTGAATTAAACATTGATGGAATCTCCTCCTTAAATTTAGCTACAGCACTGTCAGATAGACATCTGCTGTAGGAAGTTTTGCCTAATGGCTTATAATCTAATAATATAAATTCAAAAGTTATTAAATATTGGTCAGATAGAAAAGGATTTTGTGGTAAGACTATTAAATGTTCAATATCAATGCCATATGATAGAACAAGGTCAAGAGTGTGATTAAAACAATGAGTTGGTTTATTTACACTCTGACAGAAGCCAATTGAGTCTATTAATGATATAAATACGTTACTAAGGCTGTCATTGTTAACATCCACATGAATATTAAAATCACCTACAATAATTACTTTATCTGATTTAAGGACTAAACTTGAAAAAAACTCTGAGAATCCAGATATAAAATCAGAGTACGGTCCAGGAGCGCGGTACACTATAACAAATAGAACTGGCTGCAGTGTTTTCCATGATGGGTAAGAAAGACTCAGAACAAGACTTTCAAATGAATTATAATTTAGTTTAGGTTTAGGGTCCATTAAAACGCTCGAATCATATATGGCTGCCACTCCACCTCCTCGGCCTGTGCCTTTAGGAATGTGAGTATTAATATGACTGGGGGGGTGGATTCATTTAGGCTTACATACTCCTCGTGGGACAACCAGGTCTCAGTAAGACAAAGTATATCAATATCATAATCTGATATTAATTCATTCACTAAAACAGCTTTAGAGGACAGAGACCTGATATTTAACAGCCCACATTTCATTCTCTTATTTTGTGCTACTGAGGAGTTAGTTTTAATTTTTATTAGGTTTTTATGTTTAATTCCTCTTGTTTTTATTTCATTAAATAATTTAGGTGGTCGGGGGACAGACACAGTCTCTATAGGGTTTTGGGTGGGTAACTGTTCTAATGGAAGCACAGAGAAGTGTGTAAGACAGCAGCTCTGCTTCCTGGTCCCAACTCTGGACTGTCAGGTTTTAGAAATAAACTTCGCCTTTATTTTATTTAAGAGAGCCGCTCCATCCAAAGTGGGATGGATGCCGTCTCTCCTAATCAGACCAGGTTTTCCCCAAAAAAGGCTTCCAGTTATCAATGAAGCCCACATCGTTTTCTGGACACCACCTCGACAGCCAGCGGTGGAACGACGACATGTGGCTACAATGTCATCACTGGTCATATTGGGCAGGGGTCCAGAGAAAACTACGGAGTCCGACATTGTTTTAGCATATCTACACACCGACTCCACATTAATTTTTGTGACCTCCGATTGTAATCGGGTGTCATTACAGCGGACGTGAATAACAATTTTACTATATTTACGTTTATCTTTAGTCAGCAGTTTTAAATACAATTCAATAATGCCCGCTCTGGCCCCAGGGATACATTTAACTGTGAACGCTGGCTTCGCTTATTCACATTCCTAACTATTGAGCTGCCAATAACCAGACAAAACATTTTTTAATTGATTGGCTGTTTGTTTGATTGACAGGTGAGATCCTGGAGCAGGTGCGGGGGGCAGGGTCTCGGAAGGTGTCTGTGTTGGACCTCGGCTGTGGGAAAGGAGGAGACCTGCTGAAGTGGAGGAGAGGGGGGATCAACCACCTGGTCTGTGCAGGTAATCAGATCTTGACTCACCGCAAGTCCACAGAACGTGTTTATTTTCAGATATAGCAGCAGTGTACAATAATCAATCATGTTTATTTTCAGATATAGCAGCAGTGTCAGTGGAACAGTGTGAGAGTCGTTACGAGGACATGAAGAAGAAAAGTCATGTTAACGAGAAAATCTTCAGTGCTCAGTTCATCACAGCGGACTGTACCAAGGTAGACCAGCACCACCTAGACCAGTTCCTAACTGCCTGTCTGTCTGTCTGTCTGTCTGCCTGTCTTTTTATCTGTCTGTCTGTCTGTCTCTTGTCTTCAGTTTTGTCCAAAAAAACAAAAATTTGGATTTGCTGTTTTTTTTTAAATAAATATATTTGAATAAACAAAGTCACTATTCTACAATTTATTTTAATTTTGAATGTAAAATGAATCGTAGCCCAGGTATGTGGATACAGACCCATATATATTATATTCATATATATAATATATATGAATATAATATAATGTATATACTGTATATACATTATAATATATGAATATAATGGTTGGTTCTTGTCACATTTAGTCAAACATTACATTTGTGACCCGTCTCCAGGAGGTTTTGTCAGAGAAGCTTGAAGAGCCAGAGCTGATGTTTGACATCTGCAGCTGCCAGTTTGTTTATCATTACTCATTTGAGAGCGAACTAAAGGCCGACATGATGCTGAGAAACGCCTGCGAGCGTCTGAAACCCGGAGGTTTCTTCATTGGAACAACGCCAGATGCCTTCGAACTTGTGTAAGAAGAGAAACCGACGTTTTTAATGTGACTCAAATAGTTTGGAAATATGTCCGGGATGAATTTGGAATAACAATGTTAATGCCTGTCCTCTCTCCCTTCTCTTCTCCTTGTCCTCCTCACCAGTAAACGTTTGGAGACATCAGAAACTCTTTCATTTGGTAACGAGGTTTTTAAAGTTTCCTTTCAGTCCAAAGGTTTCTACCCTTTGTTCGGATGTCAGTATCACTTCAGTCTTGAGGACGTCGTCAACGTACCGGAGTTCCTTGTCTACTTTCCTCTTTTTGAACAGTGAGAACTTCTTTTTTATCATCATCATTTCATTTTAACCCAAACTGAAAATAAATGAGTGCTCTTTCAGGAACGTGTTAATGTTTTTAGCTGCAGAGAGGTCCCGAGTGGTTAGAACCAGAGCTGAATGAGAAGTTATTGATTTCTGAGCAGGTTGCTGTCGATGGTAGAATGAAAGTAAGAGTGTCTCTTGTCCACTGTGAAGGAGCTTGAGGTGCTGTCAACAAGACAATGTTAAAATTATCTATGAGGAGACCAGAGGGTGAAATGGCACATAGCTGGCCCAGGAAATCAGAGAAGTCAGGAAGAAATGAGCGGTTTTGGTGTGTTAGGGTGAACGAGTGTTGAAATAGATTGTGATTGGACAGATTTATGTGCTGTTTGTTGTGATTACGTAATGAGGAAGTTGTGGTGCGATGAGACCAGAGGGATGGGATGCAGTTTGGGGATGTAAAGTTGTAGTTGAACAAAGGACCAGAGCCTCTCAGTGTAGGATTGTATTAGATCTGTACTGTATAATCCTAGCCCCGTCTATAGCCTGTATTTCCACTAAGCTATACAATAATTATTTTCATACCATGCCACTACCTCCTGCTGTAACCTGCAATATTCCATATCAATGTGATCTGTTTAAAATGCTGTGTATAGTGTACATATAACCCTTATTCTCTTATTCTATTTTAATTATTTGTTGTATTTTTCTGTTCTGTTTTTATTTAACATGTATTTTCTTATCTGTTGTGTTCTATCTGCAGGTGCTGTAGTGAATGAATTTCCCGTGTGGGCTCAATGAAGTCTATCTTACTGACTCTAATATACTAATAGCATGCTCTACTTGTCCCTCTGTGTTTGTGGCAGCATGGCAAAGCAATACAACATGCGTCTGGTGTTGAAGCAGAGATTCTGTGAGTTCTTTGAAGAGAAAGTGAAGAAGGACCACCATCGAAGCCTCATGATGAAGATGATGGCTATGGAGGTATGTAATACTTATGTATATGTATAAGGATCTGAGCCACTTCGACAAGGGCCACATTGTGATAGATGACTGGGTCAGAACATCTCCAAACCTGCAGCTCTTGTGGGGGGTTCCCAGTCTGCAGAGGTCAGTACCTATAAAAAGTGGTCCAAGGAAGGAACAGAACTGGAGATAGGGTCATGGCCTTCAGGGTGCCCAGGTTGTCATAATGTTGTGGCTGATCTGTGTGTGTGTGTGTGTGTGTGTATATATATATATATATATATATATATATATATATAAACAAACCACAATAAAAACAGAAATAAGTTGATGTACAGTTTGTTGGGATGAACATTCAAGAAACACAGTGCTGTTTAATTCATGTTTAGTTAACATATATTTACCATGTAGTCAATATGTAATTACTGCCTAATTAACAGTTTGTTTTATTTATTTATTTTCAGCCATTTCCCAGTGACGATGGAGGTCGACAGACTACAGACAGCAGAGGAGAGTACTGCCATGCTAAAGAGCAATGCAGCAAAGCTGGAGTCAAACTACCACTGGTGAGTCTTCTGACAGCACAGTTTAAGTCTGGTTCAGTCTGGTTGGTCTAACAGTTTTGCTTGTTTGTTTGTTTTTTTGTTTGTAGGGCACTCTGAGCAGATCTGAGTGGGAAGCAGCCAGTAAGTTTCTTAAACTTTACTGTTACAGTTTAATCGTCTCATGTCATAACATCACTATACTGGTTCAATTCAATTCAATTCAATTCAATTTTATTTGTATAGCGCCAATTCATAACAGAAGTTATCTCAGGACACTTTTCAAATAGAGCAGGTCTAGACCGAACTCTTTATAACAATATTTACAGAGACCCAACAGTACCACCATGAGCAAGCACTTGGAGACAAGGGCAAGGAAACACTGCCTGTTAAAAGGCAGAAACCTAGGACAGATCCTTCGGCTCTAGGTGGGTGATTGTCTGTCTCGACCAGTTGGGGTGAGAGAGAGAGAGAGAGATGCAGAGAGAGAGAGAGAGCGAGAGACAGACAGACAGGTGCACAGCAACAACAGTATTAGCAATAGCAATCTAGCAGGATCTGAGGTCTGCCACAGAAAGTGGTGTTGGAATAGATCCACACTTAATCCAAAGGGAATAGAAACCTGCTACCTTCATCATTCTCCTGTGATGAAGATGAGTAGTTATGATTGACTTTTATTATCATTCATATTAAAAGGAACCTGGTAAACAGGATTATGGTTATAGTGAAAAGATTTAAGGATTTAAAAATGTACCTTTTCTGTTTGCTTTCCACTCTTTAGTTGATCGTTAGGTGTTCATATAGACTGCCAAATATCAGCCTACTCAAGTGTCTTTTTTCAACTCTTTAATGCGTTCTTTCGTTGTTGATGTGAAAACAGTCCAGTCATGAAATCCCAGCGCACAAAGTTGCACTGCCCTCTGTTTCTGTTAGAGCTCATTTCGAGGCTCAGTTTCTCTTCATATAAAACTGATATGAAACTTGACTGTTTGTAGGAGAACCTTTTTACCTGATCAAACTTGAAGCAATCTTTTTGGTGTCAAGTCTTTTTTCTAAAAGTTGCGAGCAAAATTCTCATGAAAGCTCAATAGAATGTCTTATTGTTGTGGTTAATAAACTCATACATAGAAACAGAGTAGAACACTTTCTACTACTTCTTTTAATTGGCTAATTGGTGACGAGATTAATTTTCTGTAAAAATTCCACTTAATTTGACCTGTTACTGATGGGCAGTGGTCAAAATAATATTCCAGTTAAAGGAAAACTGTAGAAACCTATTGTCAGTTCACTGGAGAGTACTCAGTGGAAAAAGTGTCTACTATAAACTTACCTCCTACTGGTAATGAACCTGAGACCCTCCATGAACCTGTAACATTAAATTAGAAGAATAAAACTGGAGTTAAATGTTGTTTTAAATGTGTTTGAATACTAGACCTACTGGTACATTATATGACAGTTGTGAGCAAGTGCTGTGCTGTATTGTCAAGAAAATGCCTGGAAAGGTCCTGGAAAATGATTTCTTAAGAAGAGTGGGTACCTTGACTATAGAAAAACAAGAACCTAAGTTTTCATAACTTGGCATTGACTTGGTAGCAAAGTATCAGTTCTTGTGACATACCTAGTGAACAGTTAATACTTCAGAATTACTGAGACGTTCAGTGATGATAAACTTGCAGAACTGGGATGCTAGCTCACATGGTAGAGCTGGCCCCCCATGTACCAGGACTACATCCTTGCTGCAGTGGCCGTGTGTTTGACTCCGACTTGTGGTCCTTTGCTGCATGTCTCTCTCTCTCCCCCTTTCCTGACTTTCGCAAGCTCTCCTGTTAAATAAAGAAAATAGAAAACATTAAACTGTAGACTTATGATAGAATAATAATAGGTCAATCATTACTTAATACATTTACACACACTCAATGTACGACAGGAATCCTGATCTTAATAAAGCCTTCCTTTTTCCTCTCTGTTCTGTCCAGGTATATACCTGGTGTTTGTCTTTCAGAAGATGTCCTGATGCTGGAAAACGTTTTGGTTTGTGAAGTCACCTGCTCATCATCAGTGCACCTGTTCTCCATTTAGTGTTTGTACAGCGTTTGCCTGTTTTCTTTTTCAAGTCTGTTTTTGATAAACTATGAACTGTGTTGTTTTTTAATTGAATTAAAGCTCAATTTAAACTGACTTGTTCCTCTTTGATTACTTTGTAGTACCTACAGTGGCCTGAGCACAGTTCATATGTGACATACATGTCATGAAGCAACAATGTTTTCTTTGTTGAGGTTTGAGCCTTTTTTACATAGGAATGGCACGGGAAAAGTGTTGCGAGGGTAGTTATAGTCTCACAATACCAGACAATTGGATGTCTTGCTGCCTACAATGTTTGTAAAAACAGTTGTTGCTGCTTCACCTCTTTCTTAACCCTCTGGAGTCTGTGCTGGCCATTTGTGTCCACTTCACTTCCTTTTTCTTTGGCCATTTTAGCTGTGTTAATGCATGTGGAATGATATTTCCCAAGGGTCTGGATTTTTTTCTGATTTTTTTTAATTTTCAAAACCTGCTCTTTAAATATGTCAATATTATACTGTATATCTCCAATTGTACCTTGTGGCTCTATCATGGACACTTTTGGCCAATTGAAACCCATGAAAACTACATTTTTTAATTCCTTGTGATTTACAGTATTAAATCATATAATTTAGGTAAAATGGCTTTCATTCTAAACTCAACAGTTGAAAATTTTTGTTTTTAATGTTTTCTACCTGATTGTCATTTGTCCATTTTTGGCCAAGGGAGCAATTTCAGGTAATGTTCTTAGTTTTTACTAGGAGCATATGATGGCTTACTGCACTCCAATGGAGCAAATGAATGACACAATTGTGACATAGGTGTGATCTTAAGGATGTCAGATAATGATGTGTGTTTGTGCATCAAAAAAAATGTGCCTATAAATATGTATTTGCAAGATAGAGTGACATAAATTACAGTGTATCATACCTCCAAGTTTCATTGAATTTCTTTTGGTACAGGCTATTGAGCTTTGAGTTTCCAAGGCAAACTTGGCTTTGATGCACAAGTTGAAAACACCTGTAGCTTTGATCTTTTTGTAAAAGAATGCCACACACAACTACCCAATAGCCCTTACATACTCAAATAGCTGCTCTCCAAAAAAAGGATCACAGGTCATCTTGACCTCTGGCTTCCAGGGAAACAAAAACAAAGTCTGACACTGTTTATAAATCTGTCCTGGAGTTTATGCAGGTGCAGTCAGTACTAATGCTGTAAGTGAGCCTATCAGCTCCCAGATCATTCTTTCTCTGGCAAGATGGCGAGAAGGTCATATTCACTGAATGAAGCACTTGAGTATGTGCTGGGCTCGGAGAGTGAAGATGGGAAATCCTCTGCACTTGAGGGGGAGACATCATCTGCCCAAGATGAGGACACGTCCTCTCCTGAAGATGAGGGGACACCCTCCTCAGAGGATGAAAGCAACACCACTGATGAGGAGTACCAGCCAGTGCCTGATTCCTCTTCCTCAGGAAAAGAGGATGATACAGACACAGCGGTGGAGGCCGAGCAGCTGATGGCAGAGACAGTGGAGCTGGCAGGTGAGTGGATGTCTTGTCATGGGAAAATGATGTGGTTTCCCACTGCTGAAGAGACCCTGCACTACAATCCAGTACCCACTGGTATTACCCCAGGGCCCAACCTGTATGCACTTGCCCGCATCAGCAACCTGAGGTCTGCCTTTGACCTGTTTATAACAGGAGATTATTCAGCTGCTGTGCACCTACACAAACCTGCATGGAAGGCGAAGGTGTGAGGATTGGAGGGATGTGGATGAAGTGGAGATTAGAGCCTACATTGGGATTCTGATTCTGGCTGGCGTCTGCCGCTCAAGACATGAACCAACACGTGGAACTCTTGTTCAATCCAGGGATTGATGACCCAGAGCCCGCCAACAAAAGTAGGAGAAGGTGTGAACTGTGCACCCAAAGAAGAAGAAGAACGGCAACCACTTGCTCCAACTGTGGAAAGTGTTTCTGCAAGGACCACTCTGCTGTGGTTTACACATCCTGCTGCCCTTGAGCATGCACACACACACACACACTCACTGAAACACACTGTTTAATGTTCTCTCTCTCTCTCTGACACACGCACATGCTGTTGTTCTGTTCTCTAAAAAAAAAAAACAATAAATGGGCATTTTAATAATCTCTTACTGTTACTGACAGGAACTAGAAAAAGATCATATCTCTCCTGTACTAGCTTCTCTGCACTGGCTCCCTGTAAAATATAGAATAGCATTTAAAATCCTCCTCCTCACCTATAAAGCTCTTCATGGTCAGGCCCCTTCATATCTTAAAGAGCTCATAGTACCCTATTACCCCACTAGAACACTACGTTCTCTGAATGCTGGGCTACTTGTGGTTCCTATAGTCTCTAAAAGTAGAACAGGAGCCAGAGCCTTCAGTTACCAAGCTCCTCTCCTGTGGAACCAGCTTCCAGTTGTGGTTCTGGAGGCAGACACCCTCTCCACATTCAAGAGTAGGCTTAAGACATTCCTCTTTGATAAAGCTTATAGTTAGGGCTGGATCAGGTGAGTCCTGAACCATCCCTTAGTTATGCTGCTATAGGCCTAGACTATCAGGGGATTTCCCATGGTGCACTGAGCTCCTCTCTTCCTCTCTCTCTCTTTCTGCACTCATTCATGTTCCATTAATGCATGTTACTAACTTCACTTCTTCCCCGGAGTTCTTGTGCTTTCTCGTCTCGCAGGTTTTTACTGATCCTGGTGGAGCCTCCTGCCATGGTCCTGCTAGATTGCCATTGCCAATACTGTTGTTGCTGTGCACCTGTCTGTCTGTCTGTCTCTCTCTGTGTGTCTCTCTCTCTCTCTCTCTCTCTCTTATTATTGACACACATTAAGCTGCAATGATGGTTAAAGAATAAATCAGGTAGCATGTATTATTTGGTAAAAATAATGTGTTTTTATGCTTTTCTCCCTTTATAAATCATTAGCATAATTCAATTATTTGTATAGCTCCATAATGTAAATTTAAGAGATTTAAAATGCTGAGTGAAGCTAGTTGGAGGCATGCCCCCTTTCCGTTAAAAAAGAGCATCTAAAATCACAGCAGGCGCCCCTGTTCCCAGGTTCTCTAAAAGAATTCACAAACCCCTCCCTTTATGTTATAAAATTAAAAAATAAGTAAAAATAGATGAAAAATAGTAAAATTCATAATGCATGCAAAATGATTTTCAACGGTACCACTTAAAATTTCATTAGTGGTACTGTTGATAAAACAGTCGAACAATAAATCCATAAATAAATAAAATATATACAGAATATAAAGGATAAAACAAAAATTCTATCAAGGTTAGTAAAAAAAAAACACACATAAGAAAACACATTAGTGAATAGTGATAAATAAATATTTAATAGAATTATAAAACAAACATAAGAGAGGGGCATATAAAATCAACAAGAGTTCTGGTTTAAGCTGTAAAAGGTAGGGCGCCATACTGCAAGCCATTACGCCCTCTAGGGAAGACACCACAAACTGCATTATGGTTAACAAAAGTTGTTTAAAAAGTTGATTTATTCATTTAGTATTTTTCATTTAGTCCATTCGGATCTATTGTTTTAAGTTTGTGTATCCACTTTCTCTCCGCCACCCATCGCTGTGTCGTCGTCCAAGTCCTGTCACTCTCCAGGCCCAAGCTTTGCAGGTTGTGTGGGCCATGGAGTTTAAAATGCTTCCCTAGTTCTGTTTGTATTGTTGTTAAAAGCCAGGTGTATTAAAATATCTTTTAAGTTTTTGTTATGGCGGTAGGCGGAGATCATACGGCACCCCTGCAGCACGTCACAGCCCTCCCTCGCCCTCTCAAAGCCTGTCTTAATCGTATTTAAAAGATTCTTGTGACAGTCAGAGTAAGTTAAAACCAATGGGTTAGGGTTAGGTCTTAGTAGATAACTACTCAGAGTCTCTCCCTATGTTGACCAACGACAACATAGTTTTGTGGGAGACAGAGGAAGTGCACTGGCCGACGCATGTCAGTCCCCAGACCATCGCCCACCTGCTGTCATGGGCCATATTAGAAGAGGAAAGAAGAAGGAAGATGAGAGGAGGAGGGGGTGGGGTAGGGGTTGGGGGAAGGAGTGGGTAAGGAAGCTGTCTAAAGTGGCCAGTGGTCATGGCAGATCAAACCCAATTTGTAAAATTAAAGAAGTTTAATAATAGTGATTTTAATTTAAGATTTTAAGTTTAGGTATTAAGGTGGGTGATGTTAGGTTTAGAAAAATCAAATTGGGAAGGTTATAATATGTGCTACAGGGTTTAAGGAATTGAATGTTGGTGGTTTTAAGTTAGGGTTAGGGTTAGGATAGAGAAAGTGGATGAGTCTCGGCACCGCGCAGCGGTGTCGAGGCTCCATGCACGGGCCATCCTGCTCCAGATCAGGAAAGCTCTTTATTTGGAGTTGAGGCCTTTGGGGTGTAATGTTTCTAATTTCCTAATCCAAGTCCTCTCGGCTCGGGTTCTCTGTGTGGCATTCCAGCTAGGGTCCATCTGGATGATCGTGGCCCGGACAGACGACCATCCATGGGCCAGAAAATGGCTGACCAGAGGTGTGTGGGTTTCCCTCCGTCTCTGGATATTGTACCTGTGTTGGGTGAACCGCTGTAAAAGCGTGTTTTTGGTCTCCCCAACATACTGCAAGCCACAAGAGAGACATGAGATGAGGTAAACGCAGTTTTTGGAGTGGGGATTACCACATGCCATGGTCTTATAGACCGTTTTATTAGAGTGGCTGCGTATCCACCTGGCATGTTTAAAAAATTGGCCGTGGCCCCTGGGTGCAGAGGTCGTTAGGGGCTTCATTTTGGCCGAGACCAGGTAATCCTGGAGGTTCTTGTTCTTTCTAAAGGCCGCTATAAACCTGTGGTTATTCAGGTGTCCTGGCCTAAGGACTTTTTGGTAAAAATTGTGTTTGATTTTCCTGCACAGAGTGACCGCTGGCCTGGAATAGGTGGTCACAAAGGGGAGAACCTCCGCCGTGTCTAATGGCCTTGTCTCCAAGAAGGTGCTGTGGGCCTTACGCCGGAAGGAGCGTGAATACCCCCTGGTGGCCAGAGCTCTGAAGAGCGTCTTTGTAGCCGCCATGAAATCACTCTTGTGAGTGCAGATTCTGTGGAACCGAAGTAATTGGGATTTCAGTAGGCCCCTGTATGTGTGTTTTGGGTGGTGACTGTTTTTAAAGAGCAGAGCATGGGTGTCTGTTTCCTTAAAGAAAACTTTAATATCTAATTTATTTGTCTGTTTGAAGTTTGTTCCTTTATAGGTGGTGGTGTCCAAGAAGTCGACTGACGTGGTGCTGGTGGTGGACTTCAGTGTGATGGACGGGTTGTGATTGTTCAAGGTGAGTACAAATTGGTCAAATTCTTCCATAGAGTGGGGCCAGACCCCCCAGATGTCATCCAGATATCTATAATAATGCAATGGTTTTTTGTTGCAGGTTGCCAGGGCGGAGGTCTCCCATTCGGCCATGAAGATGTTGGCATATGCCGGTGCAAATTTTTTGCCCATGGCAGTGCCTTTAATTTGTAAATAAAACTTATTGTCAAATTCAAAATCATTCCTCCTCAGGTTAATTGCAAGGAGTTGTAATAGTTCCTTATCAGGTCTCTTTTTGTCTGGAAATTTTTTAAATATGTTTTTTATGGCCTGAATGCCTTCATCAATGTCAATATTGGTGTATAAACTGTCAACATCCATAGTGAACAGGATGGAGTCGGGGGGGATATGGAGTTGTTTGACCGTATTAACAAAGTGGTAAGTGTCCTTGAGATAGCCGAAGTGTCTGTTAGAAAGTGGATTGATATAATAATCAATAAATTGGGCCGTGTAGTAGGTCTCACTGTCACAATCAGAGACAATCGGCCTCCCAGGTGGGATTTCAAAGGGGACACTCCACTTTGAGGGCTCTTTATGTATCTTGGGCAGCAGGTAAAACAGTCTGGGCCGGGGGATCGGATTACCCAGCAGGTAAGTGTATTGTTTTTTGTTTATGAATTTTTTGTCTAATAATGATTTGATAATTGGTTGCACCATTTTTTTTTTGTTTCAGGGTAGATAGGTTCCTTTAAGACAGAATAATACTTTTTGTCTGTTAGCTGTCTGTTGCCCTCAAATAAATATTGTTCCCTGTCCATCAACACTACTGCACTGCCTTTATCTGCTGGTTTTATGATGATATTTTTGTTTTCTTTTAGTTCCTTGAGGGCTTCAATTTCCTCCCAGTTCAAGTTGTTCCTGATTGGGATTGGCTGGAAATTGTTTTCAAAATAATGAATATCCGCTTGGATGAGGTCAGTGATTTCTGGTGGCAATTTAGACAGGGGGGGGCTCCAATCAGATTTTTGGATAAAGGGGGTGAAAATCACATCTTTTTTGTTTTGAAAATAAACATGGAGTTTAATTCTCCTATGATATTGCTGCAAGTCCCATCTGCTCTGCTCCATGATGTTGCTCTGGCTCCCCCTAGTGGGGATGAAAGAGAGGCCCCTGTCCAGGAGAGTGAACTGGGCCTGGGTTAATTTGAATGTCTGTGATAACACCAGTACATTTTTTGACCCCTCCTGAGAGTGCAGGCTTATGGGGATGAGCATTTTAAATACCCCGTCCAGTGGTCAAACATGTGTTTGGCGGTGGCCTTTGTCCAGTGTATGTTATCTGCCCCAGTTTCAAAAGATTTGGAGGGCAATCTGGGGATGAAGAGGCAGTTTTTCTGGATATGTGCGTTGAGGTGGACCAGGCAGGACTGCTCTTTGAGAGGTAAGTGACGGGAATAATTAATTAAGGGCACCCAAACTGCCGCTTGAGGGAATTTAGCCTCCGCTGCCTCAACTGTGGCTAATAGCTGCTGTGTCAGGATTGTTTTGGATGCAGCGTTTCTATTGTTTAGGCATTTTATTTATAGGCATTTTGGCTAAGTTAGAGTCTCCAATGAAGGCCCACTCTTTGCCAATGCTGAGGCCCCAATCCTGCATTTTGTTCTGTGTGTTAATGTGTTTTGTAGGCCTCCTGGTATCGGCCAACGGCACTGGGGTCGGCGCTGCCGGTCTAGGCCGCAGCGTGAGTCTGCTCTGAGTCGCTCTTCTAAGGATCCTAAATTTAATTGGAGTGGACTGAGCGGTGGAGACCTCAACCGGGCCTTTCTGGGGCTCTCCCAGCTCCCCGTCTTGAGAGGCAGGTGATGGAGTCTGGGCTGTGGTTCACACACGGGTTAAAAGGAGCAACCGTCGGCGCCAGAGGGGCTGCCAGCGCTGGAGAGACTGCTGGCGCTGGAGCGGCCAGCTGTCCCGGCCCAACCGCTGGCGCTGGAGTGGCCAGCTGCACGGGAGCAGTTGCCAGCGTTGGAGTGGCCAGCTGCAAAGGAGGAGTTGCCGGCGCTGGAGCGGTCAGCTGCAACGGAGCAGTCGCCACCACGGGAGCAGCCGTCGTCACCGGAGGAGGATTTTCAGGTAAGTTATCATTTTTTTCCTTTTTTGCAGGTAACTGTGCCACAGGTGCTAACCTCAGGACTCTCTGGGGTTTC